TTAGCTCTGGAAATTGTTAATTAATATGTCAATGCTGTTATAATGAAATGTCTCTTCTAATCATTTGGTTATGAAATAATTAAAAAAAAGTGAAAGGACTGATCTCCTTGAATATATTTGCATATATTGAGGCCTATGGCTAGAACCTAAGAGAGCTCTATGAAGGAAATGAGATGATAACAACTGACAGAACACTGTTTTGCTAAGTATTTTCAATACAAAATAAAAAGCAGGGAAGTAGGTTCTTCTCTGACAGAAAAATTATTGGAGCAAATTCTACTTATGTAGGTTAGCTCTACAAGAGCTGTAGGCAGGACCTCAGGAGGGATTCCAGGAGTTGCTACCATAGGTGACGACAGCTCCATGCATACCATTGTCCCTGAAGACCTTTCAGAGGGACACAATGAGGACTGGAAGATGCAGATACTGTGTGGGCCCAGACTAATGTGTATGTCTGTCTCAGAATTTTTTAAAATGCTTTTTTTCTTTAATATTTTATTTTTTATTTTATGTGTATGAGGGTATTGCCTACATATACGTGTAAAGTGCATTTGGGTTGGGCAATGCCTATGGAGGTCATAAGAGGGCGTCAGATCTCCTGGAACTGGAGTTACAATTTGTTGTTAGCTGCCATGTGGGTCCTGGGATTTGAACCCAGGTCTTCTGCAAGATCAGCCAGTAATCTTAACTGCTGAGCCATCTCTCTAGTCCCCCCCCAAATCTGTCTTGAGAATTTCATACAATTTATTTTGAACATATTCAGATCCCTCTCCCTCCACCCCTTCCTACTAACCCCTACTTCGTGCCCTCTATTATTCTGTCTCATTTTTAACAAAAGACATTTTTAAAAGTAAAAGAAATGAGGATATAAGAAAATATTTGTTCACAGCTGTATAACATTTGTGTTTTGAGACAAGTGTTATGGCCAGGTGTGGTGGTGCATACCTTTAGTCCCAGCACTCGGGAGGCAGAAGCAGGCAGATTTCTGCAACTGCAAGGCCAGCCTGGTCTACATAGTGAGTTCCAGGCCAGCTGGAGCTATAGAGAGACTCTGTCGTCTCAAAAACAAAAAAAAAGACAAATATTATAAATCAGTCAAGATTTCTCAAAAGGGAGACATCATTCCATGGGATGGCTTTCCACGATGCAGTGGGACTTGGCAGTGATGGAGATGTTTGGAGGTGACCATGCTTCTCACATACCTGAATGAGAAGTCATCCCACCCTAACTGACAGAAAAATGAGAACATCTGCAACACAGTGTAAGTCTTTATCTAAGAAAACAACTATTTCAGAGGATGGCTATCTTCAGATTATCATAACTATACAGACTTGTCCACGGAAAAGTCAAGCAGATATGAGAATTTTATAGTTTGTAACACAAGCAACATTCAGGAGCCTGACTTTCTCCAGGTATTAACCTACTGAGATGTTGTCAACCTGGCAAGACTAGGTTGTTAGGTGACCATTTGCAAGCTGGATGTGCTAGCACACACCTGTATTTCCAGCACCTGGAGGAGGCACCAGAAAGATCACAAATTCGAGATCAGCCTGGTCTATATAGTGAGTCCAGAAAACCAGGTCTACATAGCAAGATGCTGACCTCAATAAAGTAAATAAATGAATGAGGAAAATTTTAGTTTATAAAGTAAGTTATATAGTAAACTACAGCTAATTTATTACTACAGTAAATACTTGGTCTATTTTAATAGTGCTGACATGCACAGTATTTACTGTAGTGTTCTGCGATGTCCTCAGCTTTAACACTAACTCCCCACTTACTCATTCACAGAGTAACTTCTAGTCCACTCACAGTAAGGGCCCTACACAAATGTACTGTTCTTTATCTGTTAATACTGTATTTCTGCCGTTTTCCTAGCAGTAGTCAGTGCAGTAACATGCTGCATAGGGTTGGAGTCTAAAAGCAATGCGTTATGCCACCTAAGTTTATTTGTGCATTCTCCAATAGTCACACAATGAAAAAATCCTAGAGACACACTGTTCAGAAAGTGTACCTGTCATGAGAAGGCACGTGACTGTTTCTGTCATACAACGTACTGTGGTTTAGATAAGGTTTGTCACTGTTAAAAGCAAGTTGAAGTTTGATTGGCAATGGAGCAGCACTGAGAGGTTTGAGAGCAATCGTGAAGAATCCAGGGTGAATCATTAAACAAATTTAGTCCCTACTAATTAATATATTCCAATAGCACCACATGTAGCATTGCATAGGAAAATTTCCTTGTCAACACTTCCAATCAAGGATATGACAAATAGTACATCTGTTATGAAGTGTCTTTGCATCTTCAGAGTAATAAACAACTGCTACTAAACAGTTTAAAGGACATGTTTCCAAACCCACCAAATTTAATTACCCTGCTCTTGTCACCATTTCAGCGCTAAGAGCAGGCACATTTTTTTTTTACTGCTGTTTATATATATGTTTTATGTTACAAAATGGGCAGCGGTGTCTTGTGGAAATAGTAATATTCACCATTCTAAGTCCCTCAGTACTACTGTTATTGTTTGAACTTCATTTCTGATATTTTAGGCTAAAAGGTTTTGGCTCCTGTACTCTATGGCTGTCTAGGGGTTTCTTGGATAGTAAAACTGAAAGCAAATCATATAATTGATGCAGAATTGGGAATAATAAAGCAGGCTATGAAAATGGGAAAGGTTTTGTGTCCACAGCCTTCAGACTGATGAAAAGAAACTATGATCCAGTCAGAAAAATGGAAAAAAAATTTAATGCCCAAAGTGTCATTTTAGTTTAGCCTTAAAACACGTCTGTGAAAAGAAAAAGGGGTAGAAGGTGGAAGGCAGTGTGTGCCCAATAGAATCTGGCTGGAGATTAGGAAAAACCGAGAACTACTACTCAAAGACAGGCATGGTCCTGTAGGGGGCATGACACTTGTTTTGAAATCACACAGTATGGTTTATTGGACACAGTGAGACTAGAGCATTGCACCTAGTTCACATCTTTACCTCAGGCAATTCTGCTTTCTGCTCAAATATCTCTGGTGGAATCATCACAGAGACTGAGGTTCATCCCCACATCCTCAGTGCTGGTAATTGATTTGTTTCCTTTGGAATTAAAATTTTTCTCTGGAAAGCAGCCTTTCCTTATTTATTTTTTTTTACATTTTATTCACATTTTAGTTACAGCATTTTAAAATTTATTGTTGACTATCAAGAACTAGGACTAGTTTTTTAAATTTAAAGACTAACCTTTAAGGGCATTTTCCCCTCATACCTGTTGAGAAAGCAGAAATTTAGCAAGATTAATAGACTTATCTAAAGACAAAACTAGATTGTGTTTTTAAACAGACTTCTGCCTGATTTACAATTTCAATCCCATGACACTCTTGTATCATTTAGACAGTGGTAGATCAATTACCTGGAGAGCTTTCAAAAATGAAATGTATTACATTTTAATTAAAGGAAAGCACGTGGATGATAAAAATAAATCAAATAACACTGTCAGACTTGTAAGGAAAAACAACACACTTGTGTGCCCTCTACCTACCCTGATGTCCTTTCTTTAGAGAGAGCTACTTTTAAGTCACATTTGTTTTTACTCCCTCCCCCCAATCATAGTTTATACTGCTTTTTCTGTATTAGATCTTTCTTTTCTATGGTTCTGGGGATCAATCTTATGGCCTTATGGCTAAGCAACTCAGGAACTGAGCCACACTTCCATTCCTAATAGACCTAGTGGACTCCATCATTACACAGACATCTTTCTCCTCTTCCCACCTCCCAATGCTATATAATTTATTAAGTATTTACATAACACAAACTATTTACACTTGAGAAATGATAGTTTTTTATAGGTTTATTTTTCATGGGGTTTACATTACTTATGACTTAATTTCAAAGAGAATTCTGCAATTACTAATTCACCCCAGACCCTGAATAAAATCTCCTGCTCACCACCCCCCAATAAATTTTCTCTTGCTTAAACAGTCGACCTGAATTCTCCACCTGAGTAGTTCCTGTTGACTTCATGTGGTAGTTACTCCCCCCCACTTTATGGCTGTCACGTAAATAATAAAATAAAATATCCTTTGTCATTCTTAACAGAGTGAATTTTTCAATATCCCACTTTACAAGGGTACCACAACCGTTTATTTACTTTCCCCACCCTCGTAAATTGTATTCTTACATCAAAGCTTAAAGCATCTGCAGTTTACCCTGTAACTAAAATAATTTCCATTTCATTCAAGGATGCACGCCATACACTATTCACGAATAGTCAAGCTTTGTGCTACAACTAAACGTCCTCATTTTTGGCACCAAGGTCTTAATCCATGTTCTAGTCACAGGGACACCTAAAGTCCCTCTTTCCACCCCCCCCACCCCAATCCCGCAACAGCTTGTCATTTGGGGGACGATTTCCTGTGGTTTTGTTTCGACTCAAAGTTTCAGTGTGTCTTCTTGTGGGATGATAAAATGCATGCTTTTTTCACATCACATTCTTAATATTATGGACTTCTTATTCATGTCTCGCTGACAATCCAATCCAATCCAATCCAATCCAATCCAATCCAATCCAATCCAATCCAATCTTCCCGGTCTAGTTTTGACCATGAGTTTGTCGCAAATTTAAATTTGCTTTTCTGAAAATTTAATTTCAGACTTTCTTTTTAATATTGCATCCGGTGCCCTCTGTGATACCCCAAGATCCGTACCAGGAATTTAATGAGATTCCGTGCTTCTTAACCAAGGTCTTCTGCTCCCGGAACAGCTTCAAGCCTCACTTGTAGGCCGCACAGGATTTCTACACCTCCACGCCTCGGGGGAGGCTCGGCAACTGGACTGCACATGCGCGGAAGTACGGCGGACTCTCGCGAGACGACGGGCTCTCGGCAATGGGCGAGGCCCCGCCGCGGGGCGATCTGGGAATCGGCCATCTTGCCGGTCCCCGGAGGCCGCCGGCGAAGTTATGGCTCTAAATGTGTACCTGCAGGCGGATGTTGAGGATCACCGAGCCCGCGACGTAGACGTACGGGAAGTTCATGCGCAGCTGCCAGGCCAATTCGAAGAAGGCGAGCAGGGTGCGGGACAGGCCCTTGCAGAAGACGCCGTACGGAGTGGCGGCCCTGAGGGCCATGGCGGACGGGACCGCCCGGGGCTCCATGGCGCTATGCGGCCGGGCCGAGGGCTCCGCAGTCCAAGTTGCCCGGATGCGGCCGACACCAAACGGCCACCCTGGTCACCTGCCCCTCCCGCCGCCGCCGCCGCCGCTCGCTCCCGAGTGGCGCGGGGCTTCGCCGAACTCCGCCCCTTCCTGTGCGTTCTCTGAGCAGTGTTTACCCCGAGCTCGGCCGTTACATAACGTACAGCAGCCGCGCCTGTGCGGACCCACTTTAAACGGGAAAAACTGGGTGCAGTGATGTAGTTCATCTCACTGGTACACGTTTTGAAGGAATCAAGGATGGATTAAAACTTGGATTCCTCTGCTGTGTGATTTGGGATGTTACGGTATTTGGTTTTACATTAACTCTGCTGTAAAGCAAGATGATCACCTTGCATAAACTAGGACAGGCACGATCTGTTCCTAACATAACTGTAGAAGATCATAATATTAGGCTATGGGTTTTCCTGTGTATTAGGGCTAGATTGCAAGGGACAAATTGCACTAAAAAAGTACACAGTCCTCTCATGCCGCCCCCCGCCAATCTCTAGTCATCACTCAACCCACAGAAAGTTCACATGAGGTAAGGAATATTCAGTTTTTGGTCTGGAAATGCACATATGAAATTAAGGTAGGCTCCAAAGTTGGAATGGTACTGGTATAATCTTAGTACCCTTTCATAACTTTAGTACCCTTAATTTACCATAACGAATCTCCATTATTTATATTGCTTTTCTGGCAATTAAGTGGTGCAGTTTTTATTACTTTCGTTAATCTCCCATTTTTAGGTAAAGTATATTTATGCGAGTGTGTTATTTTCCTATTTTGACTTTGAGATTATAGTATAGTTTTTTAAATTTTCATTTTTGAGTGTATTGCCTGCATGCGTGTAAATTCACCTATGCAGTGCCCTCGGAGGTTAGAAGAGGGTAGGGTGTCAGATCTCCTGGAACTGGAATTATGGAGTTATGGGCAGTTGTCAGCTGCAATGTGCATGCTGAGAATACAGCTTGGGTCATCCGCTGACTGCTGAGCCATCTCTCCAGCTTGTGGTTACAGTGTAGTATTTAAAAACAATTTAAACTGTCCCACATCTCACCCAGTACTGCATGTCTATCTTACCTATTCAAAGCACTCCTGTAGCCTAGAGCACAGTTCTTAAAGAACTGGTGTGATTAACATGGCCCTCTGGAAACTGGAAAAAAATGTGAGACCTCATCTACAGTTTCTTTGGCTATTTTATGGTACCAATGCCACCCTAGCAGAGAAGTTCCTTACTTTTAATGGTCCCAGAACAATGAGATATTAACTGAGAATCAGAGAATTTGTATAGTTTTAGTGCACAGGCACAGTTTACTCTGGATAGAGCTATTCAACATTGACTATTATAGAAGTCTTTAAGACCCATTGGCAACTTCATAGGATCATATGCTCATTCTGACACACCCCCAGCCTTCATTTTCCAAACATCTGGATAAGTCCATTAAAATCCTGCCTTCCATCTTCACTGGGTAGGGAATATAGCAGCCATGCACTGCTATTCCAATAGGAAACGATAAGCAAGAAGACCAGTCCACAAAGCTTCAAGACCCACTTAGTGTGCTAGAGTCCATCAAAGGAAATCCCTTAGGTGGAATGGACAATGGAGGCAAGATATTTTAGGTGGTTGTGGTTTTCTTTCTGTTCCTTGGAGTTTAGACCTGAAGGCCTACATCTCTAGCCCATCAGGTGCATTTGAACAAGGCTTCCAAAAGTAGGACATGACAAACCCATTTTTCTGGACAGTACTTCATTGCTTTCCCTTGTTTCTATCAAGTGTATTCTGTTTCCTTGTTTTTCACACCATGCCAACTTTAATCCTGCTGAGAAAGTAAGTGAGCTACAGTGGTTCTGTACAGGACCATATTGCAAAAATTTAATGCCTTTTGTGTAAATTTGCCAACATCATTGGATCTATTAGGAAAGAAATGCATTCAGAATGCAAGGATTGGATCCAAAATATTCAATGATAAAGACTAGAAAAGTTCAAATTAGAGTTGCCTCAACATTGGCATGGTGACAAATTGACTTCAACTTTTTCCAGGCATTGTCCTCCATGGAAGCTGCTTAAGGTTCATTGGAAACTTGCATTGATTGATCCCAGTCATTAGGATCTATAGTAAAACTACAATTTCTGAATCTAGACTGTAAGTCAACCACAGATAAGTCAACTGAACTAAATAAACCATTGGCTACAACATTGGATTTTTCTTTTTGTATGTAAACTAAATGGAAGAATATTTTGCTGATGTTGGTATTAAGGTAAAACATGATTGGACTATATTTATTTATTCATCCATCCATCCATCCATCCATCTATCTATCATCTATCTATCTATATCTAATCATCTATCTATTTATTTATTTATTATTTAGTTTGTGTTTTTGAGACAGGTTCTCCCTGTAGTCCCAGCTGGCCTGAAACTCAGTAGTGTAGACCAGGCTGGCCTTGAACTCACAGAGATCTCCCTGCCTCTGCCTCCCAAGTGCTGGGATTAAAGGCATGCACCACCATGCCCGGTGTATGATTGTACTATTTTTAAATGACTATATTTTCTGTTTCACTGCATTGACTAGATCAGGTATTGGAAGATCTTTTAAACTAACTTTTGATCAGGTTAGGTAACTTCAGAGTTTGTCAGTTGTGTTTAATGCTATATAATATTTTTATAGTATGTTCACACCATCCATTAACTTGTGGTAATGCCAAAGTTAAATACTATATTCTTTGGACACTCATCAGTTACTCCACCATCTGGTTTTCTGTTTGCCATATATTTATGTATTGTTTTAAGACAGTGAAGTTTTCTGAGCATTTTTTCTTCTGAATTGTAAGATTAGTCATACTTTGATTCTGATGGAGTCCTTGGTTTATTAACACTTCATTGGAAAAACAAATTTAATGTCCTGGGGAAACCTGTCACTGTAAGATGTAAGTAGAGAAACACATGAAACCCTGAAAGCTATAATCTTTCCTGTTTTTTACAGTATTTTTTTTTATGTTTTATAGAAAATATAATTTGCACACCTGAATCCCAGCACTTGTGAGACTGCGGCAGGAGGATTGCCATGACTTTGGATAAGAAATATTTACCAAGGCGCTGGAGAGATGCTTCAGCTGTTAAGAGCACTGGTGGTTCTTGCAGAAGACCTGGGTTTGAATCCCAGCACCCAAATGGCAGCTAACAACTGTCCGTAACTCCAGTTCCAGGGGATCCGACAGCCTCTTCTGTCTTCCATGGGCATTGCACGACACAGGTGCACGTACCCACATGCAGGCAATACATGCATATGCATAAAAATAAACATTTTTAAAAAGTTTAAAAAATACCTATTAGAAGGTTATAAAAATATTTTCCTATTTTTCTGGGATTATTATTGCTTTATCTTCTACATTTAGGTTTATGATCACTTCAATTTTTTCTTTGTTATGAGGGTTCATTTTTTTCACACTATCATTCAGTATTTCAGCTTTATTTATTGAAGACAGTTTTATTTTAAATTAAATTTAGGTGTTGAAAATGGATGGACTGTGTAAGTGAATGTCACTAGATATTCTTTTGTTGGTCTATATAAACAGGGTTAACTTTATTTCTATGGTGTTGAAATCACAGGAAAGGTTTAAATTTTGAGGTAAAATTGCAGATTATTTAATAAAGTGTTTTTAAAGACCAAATGGACCCATGACAATAACTTCAACAAAGCTTTATGGGTGACATATTTTTTGAAATGCATTAATGATGTGTAAAGCCTGAAAGTGGTAAAAGGCATATTGATCCTTGATGACCTTCATGAAACACATTTTCCATTTCAGATGCTTGGGCCTTAATTTCCATTCAGAAATTGTGTTTGTGTGCATGTGCATGCATAAATGCTTATGAGCATACAAACAGAGTTACACAGTTACTGGTTATTTGTGACCAAGTCTTGAAGAAGTATCTTTTTCTGTGGTTTCGAAGAAAGAAATGAATGTTTGATAGGAAAAATTAAGAATCTTTGTATATTAGTCCATTAAATAAACCAGAGTAGTTATGACTATAGATATCACATGGTTTAAACACTGCTGTATGCATTGAGTTCTAAAATTTTATTAACAAACAACTAAGGTTGATTAACAAATAATATGGAGATTAAGCAATGAGATTGCAAATATGAAACAATATGCCTTTATTTGCATGCTAACAAATGAGAGTGAAGGTTTACTCCAACATCAGCTATGAAATCCTCCAATCTATGGGAGGGACATAAAGTGTGTAAGAGTTAATGTGAGCAATTATTGGAATGCAGTATTTGCAGAAATACAAGATTAAATTCATCTAACACTGTGGCGTCATCCTGCTTGGTATTTGTCATAGAGCTGTAAAGAAAAAAGAACTTCGCAACTGTAAGTCAAGGTCTTGACTAAACATATATAATGACTTAATATATAAACTTAAGGTCAATATATTAAAAGATGGGACTGGGGAGATAATTTAGCACTTGCACAAGTATGAGGATCTGAGTTCAAGTCCATAGAGCTCAAAAAATTCAGGCATGGTCATGTGTGTTTGCAGCCCTAGCACTGTGGGAGGTGGAGGCAGGAGAATCATGGGTGCTTGCTGGCTAACTTGCTCCAGGTTCAGTGACAGGGCCCATCTCAAGGGAAGAAGAGAGTTGATAGAACAGGACCTCTGACACTCTCTTCTGGACTTTGCATTGTGGGGCATGCACACCCTCACACAAGTGTGCATATGCCTCACAGACATAAATAGATGAAATATTTCTGTTTTTAGTAATGGCACAATTTGTCTTCTAAACCTTGCTGATGTCCTTAAAATACCGAAGAACTGCACTGACTGGACCAAGAGGCAAAAAATCCTTGAGGTGACTAAATTCCCACTGTTCTTCCTGTCTTTGGAAGTGGCATGCTTTGGGTGGCATTAGTAAATTGATATTTAACTGCTTCAATCCATACATAGAATTATTGTTAATATTGCCTGGGAATAAACAACCACTTGAGCACCTGGCTTGCAAGTAGATTATACTCAGGTTATTTTTATTTGTTCAAGAGAGCCAGTTTCTGCAAGTTTATAGCCCTTTACCTAAAGAGGAAAGTTGAGAATGTTATTCTCTCGACACACTTTGAGTTTAAAAAAAATAATTTTTATTTTTATTTTATGTGTATTCGTGTATTGCCTGCATGTAGGTAAGTGCACCCGTGTTGTGCAATACCCATGGAAATCAGAAGAGGCTGTCGGATTCCCTGGAACTAGAATTACAGACAGTTAGCTGCCATGTGGGTGCTGGGATTCAAACCCGGGTCTTCTGCAAGAATAACCAGTGTTCTTAACCGCTGAGCCATCTCTCCAGTCCCACACTTTGAGTTTTTATTTTTGTGATGGTGAACATATAAAAGACTGCTCCAGTAAGTCCGTATGAATGAAATGTGACTGGCAAGACCCAGTTGAAGGCCTAGTAGTTTTCAAATACAATTGTCCTTTATACTCTGAATTACACCCATGATCTGTGTTCTGCTGTTAATTTACTT